TGCTATGGTGTCTCTAAGGGACATCACAGTAGACTGGAACAAAAAGCCAAAACCTGTCTCACCCAACTGCTTCAGCTGGGAGAAGATCAGTGTTGGAATCAATTCCCCTTTCATGAAGGAATTAGAGTTCTTATGTCATTTTCTTTGATCAAACAGTTGTCAGCCTTGTTAGGAATTTATGCCATTCATCCAATGATGCATCAATGGAGTAGAGATAGGATGTCAATGGCTCAAAAAAGGTGCATGATGCAGGTGTCAAGATTTATTCTTGTCAACTGCATTACAGAGGAGATGACAGCTGAGAACATTGCATTCAACAGAGTTCTTGTACCACACATCAAAGCCAATTACCAGTCAGAGAAGGAAAATGGCTTCAAAAGAGTGTTTGATGATAATGAATATTCCCAATTCAGTTATGTATTCTCTGAAAATGGAATGTGGAAAGATGCAGAGTATCTTGAATATCAGATAGTAGAAATGAGGATGGAGGAGCAGGGGATGAACCATCCATCAACACTGACCAGCATGTCAAATCTTGCAAGTACCTATTCAGGCCAAGGAAAATATGAGGAGGCTGGGGAGCTGAAGCTGAAAGTCCTGGATCTGTGTACAAGGGTGTTGGGACCAGAACATCTAGATACCTTGACCAGCATGGCAAATCTTGCAGTCACATATTCAGACCAAGGAAAATATGAGGAGGCTAGGAAGCTGCAGCTGAAAGTCTTGGATCTGCGTACAAGGGTGTTGGGGCCAGAACATCCAGGTACCTTGACCAGCATGGCAAATCTTGCAGTAGCATATTGCATATCAAGGAAAATATAGGAGGCTGAGGAGCTGGAGCTGAAAGTCCTGGATCTGCATACAAGAGTGTTGGGGCCAGAACATCCAGATACATTGACCAGCATGGCAAATCTTGCAGTAGCATATTGCAAACAAGGAAAATATGAGGAGGCTGGGAAGCTGCAGCTGAAGGTCTTGGATCTGCGTACAAGGCTGTTGGGGCCAGAACATCCAGATACATTGACTAGCATGGCAGATCTTGCAAGTACCTATTCAGACCAAGGAAAACATGAGGAGGTTGGGAAGCTGCAGCTGAAAGTCTTGGATCTGCGTACAAGGCTGTTGGGGCCAGAACATCCAGATACCTTAAATAGCATGGCAGATTGTGCAAATACCTATTCAGACCAAGGAAAACATGAGGAAGCTGAGAAGCTGCAGCTGAAAGTCTTGGATCTGTGTGCAAGGGTGTTGGGGGCAAAACATCCAGATACATTGACTACCATGAATAATCTTGCAGTTGCATATTCAGAGCAAGGAAAACATGAGGAGGCTGGGGAGCTACAGCTGAAAGTCTTGGATCTCCGTACAAGGGTGTTGGGGCCACAACATCCAGATACATTGACTAGCATGGCAAATCTTGCAGTTACATATTCACACCAAGGAGAATATGAGGAAGCTGGGGACCTGGCGCTGAAAGTCTTGGACCTGCGTAAAAAGGTGCTGGGGCCAGAACATCCAAATACCTTGAACAGTATGAATAATCTTGCTGTCACATATTCAGACCAAGGAAAATATGAGGAAGCTGTGGAGCTGACGCTGAAAGTCCTGGATCTGCATACAAGAGTGTTGGGGCCAGAACATCCATCAACATTGACCAGCATGACAAATCTTGCAAGAGCATATTGCAAACAAGGAAATTATGAGGAGGCTAGGGTGTTGCAGGTACAGGTTCTGAATATGCATACAAGGGTGTCAGGGCTAGAACATCCAGATACTTTGGCCAGCATGGCAAATCTTGCAGCAACATATTTAGAGCAAGGAAAATATGAAGAGGCTGAAGCACTGGGGCTGAAGTCTCTGGATCTGTGTAAATAATCTTTTAACAGTCCTGTTATAGTACCTCTATTTATTCCCTATCGTTCCATTACTCTAAGGTTCACTTAGATCATTTACATTGTATTTTCTATTTTGTGATTCTCAATAGCGTGTAGGACATGTAGTTGTAGCACACTAATATACCCCGAATCCAGTTCTTGAATGTGTTAGCAACATGTTAAATGTTTGCAGTATAGGCGATTGACAAACAGAACCTAACAAACAAACATATTCAAGCACGTTGAACAAAGACAAACAAGGACAGAACATTCTTGAACATTCTTCTAAGTTCTTCTAGGTTCTGGAACTAAGTACTTTAGGTATATAACATGTCAGTAAAGCTACAGAAATCATACTCACTTTAGCCCACATTTGTCTGAACTTAAGATCTTGAATAAAAGACTTAGTTAGCTGTTTTAAGTACTTGATAAAGCATTTGAGGAGGTCTTTACCTTCCCCGGTATAATCCATATGGAATCCATGTGGAATCCATGGAATCCATGAAGAATTCCATATGGAATCCATGGAATCAATGTTGGCTGAGGACACAGCCAGTTTCTGATTCCATGGACATCATGGATTCCATATGGAATGATGCTGGAATGGTCATGGAATGATTAATTCCATATGGACTCCAACACCATTCCATATGGATTCCATCAGATTCCATATGGAATGCAGGCATATCCACATGGATTCCATGGAGCAGTCCATATGGATTCCATGGAATGGAATTAATGACTATTATACCATTAGAATACATTGTCCTTACTATAAGTAAGTAAAATAAATTTTTTTACATCTCGAGGAATTGAACTCTCGACCTCGTGAATGTAAGCAGCGCTCAAGCCGACTGAGCCATGAAGGCATTATTATATGAGAAACTAAAGGTATGTATATACCGCTTTTAGGCACGTGCCGCGTCAAACGTGACAGCTGTGGCTGAAGCGTTGCCACGTCGTTCTTTCCTTCCTACCACCACCATCAC